TATAAAAGCAAGTAGTCTTTTTTTCAAGCGAGAGTATTATAAGTATGTGTTACGCAGAAGTTACTATAATCTTCGTTACGTTGTGTCACTACTGATTATCTCCTTCGTTCTGTAAATATGATTCCTATAGCTTTTATCCTTCTTCACAGGCTCCTCCAAGGCTAATTGGGGATCGTGGAGGCAGTTAGAGAGAGCTAGGCCTCTTTTCCCCTTCACGACACCCCCTTCGCCACTTTCCTCAAAATCAACTGAATATTATCAAGAGCTCATTCTCTGCTTACATTATATAAAAAATACTCCTGGTTAAGCTCGCAAATCGCTAGCGTTTGGGGTCGAGGCAAGCACTGTAGTCTGTTAGCTTGGTCTGATATATAGACTATACCTGATTATTGGCAATTACTGGCCACGCTATTTGATAAAAGGGAAAAAAAGAGTATTGCAATACTCTCTCTAAGCGCTTCAACCTTGTTTTCAGGGTTCTCTCCAACTCGTCCCTGCAGAGCGACATACTAGGGAGCAAGAAAGAGAAGCCTAGGAACGATTTGTGCAAGCGTGAATCGCGCATTCCCCTCCTTTCACCTGCATTCAGTGAAAATTGCGCCATGTATTGCTGAATATATTTAGCTTACATCTACATACTTAGATTTACTACCTATATCTGAGATAGTATGCAAGGTTAAATATGAAGAAGGTCAATGGAAAAACGATCCGCGCAATTCTGTCAAATATGTCGACTTCATTATTGGAACCCAGGCCCAGACAGAAACTTGGAATACACTGTATGATGGTTGTCCTCGGTGGGTTGGTCGTGTAAGGACTGTGTTGAATAGCCGGACCAGGTACGCTCTGTAAGTTAACAAATATAGTCATCATTAACGTTTCCTAGATAAAAGATTTTTGGTGATTAACAACAACGGAAAAAGACAAAAAAGAACAACAAATAAACAAACATTTTAAAGGTCAAATAAAAGTTCGTTTCAATTAAGTCAAATGTGCCTCATAGCAGACGTGTCTTATCGCAAATTCGCTTCATTAGGTTCGTTGCACGATTTGCTCTGTTGCGTTTCAGTAGTTATCGTATTAATTTAATATGCTTAATTTATTTGTTAGCTTTTCTTTACCTGTCTTGGATAAGAGTTTCGAAGAGCAGATTTTTGAGGTAAACTGTAGGATGAAGGTGATCGAGGGGGAAAACCATGAGCTGATTTAGGTCTTGCCGGCAAACTATGCGAAGAATGTGACCTAGGAACTACTTCAGAGTCTTTGGCGTGGAATGTTTCTATTTCCATTTCTGCCATAGAATAGTCTTTTGATGTTGAACGCTTCCCTCTAGCTTTTGCTTTTTTCCTTTCGCTGTGCATAAGAACTGCCACATATTCCAGAAGTACACCGAAGACAAAAATGAACGACACTATCAAATAAGAGTCGATAGCTTTGATATAGGAAACCTGAAAGGGATATGGGAGTTTTAAATTACAGTCAGTTCTCCCATTATCCTGAGAAAACAGCCCACATTTGGCGACGCTACCACTGGTTTCCCCGCCAAATGACGTCTGAGAAACGAGCGCAGAAATTCCATACTGACGACGCGTCACTACCCAGATATGGGTAGTGCTTCTGATTGGTCATGCCGCGTGGGAAATTTGATTGAACCAATCAGAAGCACTACCCAGATCTGGGTAGTGACGCGTCATCAGTATGGAATTTCTGCGGTCGTTTCTCAGACGTCATTTGCCGGGGAAACAAGTGGTAGCGTCGCCAAATGTCTAATGTCAAGCTATTCTCCCATGTGAAGGATCATTGTGAGCGGCCAACTTGAGCACTGACCTATCCAAAACACCAAAAACGAGAACCACTTTTAAGCGACCAATGAGAGGTAATTAAATTGGCATTTTTGGCCGTGCTTGCTTAATCAAAGGGTTGACTGTATTGTCATGATTGATACAAACTGCGCTTCGTTCTCTAATGATAATGGCCGAACATCAAGATTGTTCAGATTTATACTGAATTTCCAACAAAAACACCTCATCCCAAAATATCTCCAACGCTCTTAAAAATGTCATTCAAACCTTACAAACAGTGGGAAAGCTATTAGTGGAAAAGGCTTCCATGATAGACTTTGGAAGTAAAATATAATCCCTGTGCCGATAAATACGGCTGCGAGTAAAATAATAAAAAAGGGATGACGTCATTTCGTTGCTATGACAACTCTAATGCCATTGACCTGGTTCATAACAATTTTCAATTCATCTTTATCTAATACCGTCACCTGTGGAAGTAATTTCCCCAAATTTCCTTTAATTGTGATGTAGCTTAAACGCTTAAACATGAGAGGTATTGACCCCAAAAAATCCCATCAGCCACCTTAACTCGATTTACATTCTATGTAAAAAAACAGTTTCAGTGTTTAAAACATTTGTCTGTTCCTGGGGAAGGGATATTCAACATGTTATGATGGGATTTTTTTTCAGCAGACATTCTTTAAATAGAAGTTGTCAATGACTGGTATTTTTCCTATCCTTAATATGTTTTTACAGCTAGAAGTTTGGTAATTCCTTCTTCGCAAAAGTGATTAATCTCCCGCTACTTTAATTCTCCAGCTCTGCAACAAAAGCTAAGCTGCCGCATCGTCGATATCAGCACAATTTACTTCATTTGTAATAACATCGGCAAACGTCTTCCAAACGTGGTCAACGCTAGCTCTAGCGAGTTATGAAGAATTAGCCAGAGGATTTAAACCAATCACAAACCGAAATATTTTGAATAAACAATATGCAAATAATATCAACTGATTTAGTTGTAGCCTGCAGGTTGTTGTAACCTAGAACTAAGACATTGCTTTAGTCATGAGTACATCACCATAAAAGTCAAGCAAGTGGACTATACCTTAGGGACGGAATTCCTGAGAGAACCCATGAGTGTAACAATAGTCAGCACTGTTGTTATTCCAAGGGCAACTCTTGCAGGGACCGCATCTTTAGAGATCCAGAACGACAGCCATGAGAGAACCACAATAAGAAATGTCGGAGAGTAAATTTGGATAAATGAATACGCCAGCCTCCTTCGAAAGACAAACTTAGCCACAAGGTGAGTATATGTACCTGTAAAAATAAAACGATAATATTAAAAAGAATTAAAATAAATATAAATAATTGAAATATTAGGAAATGACACACAAACAGAGTTCTGTTGAGACAGACATTTCAGGAATCAAGATTACGATTATTTACTCCAGCAAGAAGCTTCGAAGTGGCGCGATAAGTCTCAGATTATTGACCCAGACCGTACAAGTGTTTTTACCGGCAACGTTTATCATTTGATAGAGGTTACCGGATTCAAATTAGTCGCTACCTAAATAACCAAGAGTGCACATTGGAAAAAAAGCATACCGACACTTGTAATAACGGTTTAGGAGAGGTCAGTTTTTTGACTGGAAAATAATTGTATTAGTTATAAGTCTATCATGCATAGTATGGTCAGAAATCTCCTTTACAGTCACATCGCTTCGTGCCCTGTTCTTGCTTTACGTTGTGTTATAATCGTGGTCCTGTTTGCAATGATCGAAATCATGCAGGGTCACGGTGCATAACAAATCCTAGTCGAGTCAGCTCACGGAAGAAAAATCGCAGAAGACACCTGTGGCCATTGGTTACTAAATCCGCAATGTATATAATTTTTCTTTCAGTAAATATCCAAAAGTGTACCTAAATCTACGTTATTACTTTTCAGCGCATGTTTTCTATTCAAGATGAGATACAACTCTTTATAAATGGCACGAATTTAATGTATCAAAGTATAATGTAAGATTAGAATGTATCCAAATGTATCAAAATATAATTATAAGTTAAGACATTCTAATGGATATTTATGAAAAGCTTTGACCTGACAAATCTGGTTGTATAAATGATACCTATGACATATTCCACGAGTTTCCTCTCAATTTGGGCATCGGCAAGCTCAAACTCTGACATCTCATCATCCAAGATGATAAGCGCTTGTGCGTCATCCCAATGATAATCCATGTCATTTATATCGTAAGAATCTATCAAGAAAATGGAATATATTATATAACTGAAAAGACCGTTGGCAAGTCGTCAGAGTGCTTGAACGAGAGGACCGTCAACCCTATCGAGATATAAAATGGAGGGAAATGGCTGCGTTGAGAAGTTCATAGTTTCAGATCGAGCAATTGGAGAAAAAAAGGACATTTCCGGCCCTGACTTGGTCTGAAGACTTTTCGGTGCAAGTCATCAGATTGGCGCCAGTCGATACATTAATGCATTTTTCGAAACTCGGCTTGTTATGCCAAACGTTTTCATATTCTTCTTGAATCAGTTTCAAAAATCATGACTCTAGCATTTTTTTTCTGATCCCAAGTTAATTTCTGCGAATTTTGGGCATAAGAAACCACATGATGCAAATGCAAATAAGTGGCAGCAATGAGAAAAGATGACATCACTACGTTTCGTAAACATCTATAATTCTTACACATATTCTCACTTTCTGCAAATTTCTTAAATTTCTTAAGGCTTGGTTTTAATAAGATTGATAAATTAGCCTTAAAGGCCCAAGATATATACTTGCCATGAGGCTGTATAAAATCACTTACAACTTAAAATTTCGAGGTTACATGTCTGTGTATCCAGAGGGTAGTCTCTAAGATCCATTCTGCAGGACGCAGAAACTGTCAACCTTCAAAAAGGAAAGTTCCACTGAGTTGGTAAACAAATAGATAAATTGATAAATATATTAACAAATTATAAGCAACGCTATCAAGGAAATACCTTCGTTAAAGATATAAAATGAAAGCATCATTCTTAAAACCTTCTGTGGTACTTATTTGCCTTCTAAATAAACACAGCGAAAACATATGTTTGCCCTTTAAGCCTGCACTCATCGATGATTGCATATTATGGAGCTAAGTTCAGTTATACATTTGATTGGCCGAGTAGTCAATTGAAAGCTTCTTCGATTACACTTTTTATTCAATACATAAGTTTTTTTATAACTAATTCACGGTATGTAATAAAAATAACAAAACCATCAGGAAATCATCCACGCCATACCTTTCACTGAGTTCAACATCTCCATTTGGGTTTATTGCAATTCTGCTGTTTGCTGCAGGTACATGATGAAATTTTGCTGTCTTTACATTTAAAAAGAAGGTGTCAGGAAGCCAAAAATTGTTTTTTTCACTTCCAGAGAGTAGAATCGGCTTTTTAAGTTCGTGGACCAATCTTGGATCGTTCCAGGCTTGCTTGAAAAATATATCGAGGCTGAATTCCTTAGACATAACACAAATAGAAATGTTTTCATTCATACGGTACTTCCGTCAAGGAAAAAATTTAAGGTAGGTTTTCGACAAATTAATTGTCAATATAGCAAAATTGAATATATCAATTGTCTGACATAAAATAGTAATTATTGTAATGACGATAATAATATACTTATAATAAGCAAATGTTTCATGCATGCATACATTTCGAAGAAGAACTCTCAAAAACCAGCCATAGATTTTAAAATGGTTAAACAAGCATTAGACTTGTTGCAATAGTTTTAAGTCCGAAATGTTGTTGCCTTACAACACATAATTATCATAGTACACATCGGGCGTAAACTGTTTTTGTTTTACCTTGCTTGTTTAGTTTGTTTGTTAGTTTATTTCTTAATTGGGCAAAAATTTATGGATTTTCTTTCTTGTTTTATATTAGCTAGCAAGATTTTTATCACCACCATAATAGTACCTAAAGATTTCTAAAAAAAACAAATTGGCCGATCTTATTTGCAACTTGTTAAAACAACGTGGTAACTTACCATGTTGATTTCTTTTATGGCACCAAATGAAACAACTGTTATATAAACTGAAATGTTCAAAGGAGGACCTGCAATAGTTCGTTATTAAAGCTTAAGCAATTTAATTAACTATACATGTAAATCCCAAACGATATTTTTTTGTCATATGTGTCTTATTTAGGTGTGTTCTTACAGCGTACAGCACTACCCTATGTTGTTTGCTTTTCTTAGGGCCCTGTATAAAGATCTTTTTTACTTTATATATTTAGGCTTTCCCCTCCGAGATCTTAAGGTAAACCTCTAACAACAAGTTAAGTTGGGGGAACTGATCTCTATTTCTTATAAGCTCGTTGGCTCAGGAGATTTTCACGCCCAAGTCACCAGTGAGTCACCCCAGTCCTTCGCCATAATGTCACGCAACAGTCCTTTATATGTATCTTCCCTTACCCCACGGTTGTCAGGAGCCCATAGGTCATTTGTCACTTTAGAAACGATAAAGGCCAAGGGACTGGGGCCGAAACGTGTCCCGCAAATGTTTCTGGGATTCTCACGGGGAATGTGCCGGTCAGCTACTGCGCATGGCTACTTCCGAGTTCCCAAAACCCTCACTTTCAAAATGAGGCCAAATTTGCACGACCTTTCTTGTGAAAATGAATTTATTTGCATGAGAATGAAAAATCATTTCCATGTCAAAGGCTGAATACTTAACCTCGTTTTGATAGTTTGTGTAAGTTTCAGCTCTTTGCAATATCAGTAACAAAGAAAATAGTAGCAATTACAAAATGCAAAATTACTGGGTGGCAAAACGTTAATGAGCGCATACATTATTTGTAAATGTTGGGGTCTTTCAAAGAGACTTTCTTCGAAACTATTTGGTATATCGGACTCAAATTTTCAGAGATAACTGAAATTGTTATGCTATTTCAACTTTCAGAAATTTCATTTGATTAGCTTCATCAGGTAACGATAAGCCAAAAAATGTAAATAAGGATTCGCCTATAATAACAGTCCAATATTAATCTTTACCAAAGTTAACTCGGCGCAATGTACATTTGGATGGCGAATTACAGTCAAACCAAGTCAAGCGTACCCCCCAAGATTCTATCAGTGAATTGATTATTTGAAAAATGAATCCGTTAGTCGTTCCCGTAACTGGTGTCAAATTCAAAGCGGCATTTCTGCATGCGCAATGAGCAGTGAATAATTTACGAGAACTTCTCTGTATTTGGTCAGATTGGAAATCTTTGAATGGATTAAGCTTCTTAGAAGACATTTACATCAATTTCAGGAAAATGGAGCTGATAGAAATTTCATAACTGCCTCGCGTGTGAATTCACGGCTCATTACACATGCAAGAATTCAGAGATCAATCTGAAATCTACAACTAGCAACGGATTCAACTTTTGAACAATAAATTCATTAATGGATTCTTGGGGGGTACGCTTGACCTAGTTTGACTGTAAGGTTACTCAATTGTTTTCTTGCCTGTGTCAGCTTGTTGCCCGAAGAGGAACAAAGAAACAAATGCAGTACTTACTCAGTTATTACTCCTAACTTTTATAATTTAAATCAGGGGCACCCAACGACAATTTTCGGAAAATATCTGTTCGGAAGACGATTTGAGATCTAGAATTTTCGGAACATTTGTTGTAAAAATTCTTGCTTGCCTGCCTCTCCTAGGATTTTCGAACATCTAAAAAATGTTATATTTGCCCATTCAAACGGATTTTTACCCTAAAAAGGTCACCTAGAATTTTCGGGAGCCTTTTTTCTGGCTGGAATTTTCGAAAAGGTAAGTTTTGATCCCTATAATTTTCGGATCACTAGACTTTCAGCTAGGAAATCCGAACAGATGAAAAATTTCAAGGGGATAAAAATATGCCTATATCTACCGTTTAAATACTAAAATAAGTTTAACAATGCTATGTTTAAGTGGTTTTGAACTATATTCTCGTTGGGTGCCCCTGTTAAATGTAAGACTGAAATGATGGTTGTAACTTATCATTTAGCTTCTTTTTTTCTGACTTAACAAAAGGGTGCCAGTTTTACTCACAATTAGTTTCTGTTTAAATAGAGGGTATTAATTCTTCATTCCTGGGTAAAAATAAAGTTTCCTCGATTACTGCAACCACATTTGCTCTAGATTAACCTAAATAATTAAGGGAAAAGTGACAGTTTTTTTGCATAAGGTGGAGGAACAACGACAGCTTTGAAACTGGTCCTGAAAAGGGCTGGCGTACCTTCGTGGTAAGGTCTGATCCTTTTGTCGTATACGCCAGCTGCGAATAGTGAATTGAGCACCTGAGTTGTATTATGGTAACCTCTTGGATGCAAAAAGATCAATAAAGCATCATACATGTGAAATAATATATCAAATTTAGTTAATTTTAAGTAGAATAAACTATGTGGGGAATAAACTAAATAATGGCAATTTTTTATAATTCTATAATATAATTGAGTCAACAAATTGCTAGAACTGTCAATATGAGGACAGACGTGCGTATGATAAGATTACGTGCTCACTGTTGTGTTTATCAGAATCGGATTTCTACATCCTGAGTGCTAATTCTTTCTCGTAGGACTTTCTCTAAAAGGTCCTGCCTCCATCCAAAGCTCGATATATGTACGTTAAGCAGTTAAGCATGAACCAGTTCATTATTTAACAATTAATGAATGAGGTTGAGTATCTTATGAAGAATTATGGAGATCGAGGAGGGTGTTATCGGATAGCACCCTCCGAGATCTCCATAATTCTTCATATGATACGAAAGCCGAATTCAATTATTGTTTTGTTACTCATTCAAAATAATTCCTAGTTTAAAAACATGGCTAAAACATGCTTACCTCCATAGATCCATCGATGTTAACTTAATTTTCGATACAGCTGGATAGTGCACGTTTAGGGTTGTTCAGCTCCGCAAATATTCTCCAAATAGCAGATGTCGCCCTTCGAGTAGTGTTCTTGCTGTTCTTGCCATGTTTTTAGGTATAATTTAGCCTAGTTCTTACTCTGGAAACGAGAGAATTGTCAGCAATTTTTTTTTTGTTTTCACAACCAAAACAACTCAACCTCGTCCCCATGTCTTCTCGGTTAGACGGTGCATTAACCTGCAAGAATGCTGCATTTTTGACGTCATTTCCTCGCTAAACACAAAATTCTTCCAAATTTGGTCGTCAGTAACCGGTTATGGTGAATTATGCGTGTGCTTTTAGCCAATCAGAATCGGGGAAATATTTTGAATGAATAATAAATATTATTTAAATTGAACAACGCATTTGATGACATTTCAAATGCATTTTCTGTTTGATCAGCGAAAACAAAATAATGTCCGCTCGCCCTCCCGTCTCTTCGTTTTCCTTGCCTCCTCCTTCCCTTCCTTCCTTCCTTTCTTCCTTCCTTTCTTCCTTAGTCCTTCCTTCCTTCATTTTTCTTTTCATCCGTAAAATCCGTGATATTAAAATATGCAAGGAGCTGAAATAGATTCATTTCTTAGAACAACAACATTTGTACACTTTTTAATTGAATGAACTGATACATAATCTGCTCTCATTCATTTAATCATTCCATTATTAGAGCAAATCGCAAGAACATTATACACTCAAGATCTGGAAGCACTGCATATTTGGTTTACTCTACCTTGCGTCAATGTTTATTTCTGCTACTGATGCCAAGCAGTTAAGTCCCGCTAAAATAACGATCACAGCTTGAAACTTCAGCATTGTATAAAAGCTTTTTATCGTCCAAAACAAGAGATACTGCGGGACATTATAAAAAAAGAACAAAGAGGACATTATGAGCGTCCATCATAATCAACACCAAGAGTGAAATTGCCTTTTAGAGGTGCTAACATGAGAGTGTATGCCTCATTAGGAAGGAATGTTTTCAATTTATCAATAGTCCAGATTGGAATGACTAAAATTTATACTTGGGTCCGAGGTTCCGTGTCAGATTATCCTCAACAGTGAGCCTTTTAGCATTATAAAAATGATACGTTCCATATCAGAGTTTTTTGGTTAATGCCAAGCGGCAATAGCAGTACTAAAAGAAAGAACTTAAAAATATTGAAAAGGAACATTTTTTAAATTAAAAAATGTAATCATGCGTCGCTTCTCTGGTACGTTTTTATCGAATCATTCTTAAAATGAATCTTTAATCATTTCTTGCTTGTGTTTTCATGCACAAAAAATTACCTCCAGTAGGCTGTAAAGTTCCTGCGAAGTGTCTTATGTTGTACTTTACTGATATAGCGGTAGTACATTTGGATCAATTTTATCATCACTGTTGCAATGTTTTGCCGAATAATGAGACAGACGGAATTAAAATTTTCAAGGAAAAAAAATCCTATATTATAAGCTTCATTTAAAACTTGTGTTAGTAAAAAAGGAAACAAAAGCATACACCCTCGGGTAAAATGGTACTTACCATTTAGTAGAATTCACTGTTGTTCAGCGATGTAATCTCAAGCAATAATCGTTAGAGGTACTTTAAAATTATCAGCAAGGAAAAGCATGAATGCGAATTATCATTTTATGGTTGAGGATACTTTAAGAATTAATGTGTTTGCTTTGTGTGGTTAGCCAATTAAATATGTTGATACTATGATTGGACGTCGAGATTTATCAGTATTTGTTTAATTTGTAAAGCATCGGTTTACAGATACTTATTTATGTTATTAACTGCTGAGCGCTATTGGTATTTACACTTTTTACACCGTAGAAAGGCTTGAAGCATTTATCTGCACCATATTGGTAATTGATTTAAGTACACAAGGTTGAAATGTGTGCGCGTGAGCGGGTCAGCAGATAGGAGATTACTGAGTAGTGAATTAGTTTTATTTCATTTGATTACAACCCAATGCCATTCAAAGGAATCTCAATTCGGTTACAGAATTATCTCTTTTAAAGTTGTAAATTAAAAGTAAAAAAAGAAACAGCATCATCAAAAACAACAGGGAGTTTAAGATACGGCGACTACGGACTACGATTATGGTTAAACATGCTACTGCGCATGGTCAAAACCACGT